GGCTTTGATGACCATTCGTGTTGAATCATCATTCTGTTTGCGGGAAGGCATATCACTATACTTACTATATATAGCCTATCCAACTCTTGCCACTCCCAAACGGATGCCTCTATCTGTTGTCTTCTTGGTGCTTCGGTCCATGACCCTTTTGCCAGGTCGTAGCGGGCAACATCTGAATGCGGCTTTTAACTGGGTCGCCCTGGCTGTATCGGAGAAGGTATAGAAGTGAATCCGGCCTCAGTATCTGAGATGAAACAACTGCATCATGTCGAAAGCAAGAGAACGCCCTGAGGGAGGATTTGGGCTGCAAGGAAGTTGTTCAAGGATCCTGAGGACTTCTCAAACTATCTATCCCAAGGCATTAGTCTACAAAACCCTCCTGACAAAGGCTACATAGCTTGGGGGTAGTACACTGCAAGTGAAACCCAACCAACCTGCATTGCTACCGTTTGAAACCTCTGCTCTATCTTCCTTGTCCTTGTATCCAGGATTCTGCTCCCTCACCATTTCCAGCTGCCAGCCCTGCGCCAGTCCCAGCACTTTCAGGAAATGATAACTCGGACACATGAGCGAAGTATCACCATGGCCCATGGCGGAGAAAGCCTCAAGGGGAAGAGTGTGCTCTTTCAATTGCTTCCAATGCTCTATCTACATAACATACACGAGGCAATTCTGACCCGGTTAAGGCAAATGTTCAAGGCACTGTCAAGGCAAATGATTTCAGCCTGTAAGAAGAGACCAAAGTACCATAAAGTACTCCAGGTTCGCTAATACCGTGGACAAATCAATCAAACGCTTTGGCAATCGATTTTATCTGGACCCGACGGACCATTCGTTACCCCAGAACATGGGACATGACCCTATTCAAACATAGGGTCCAGGTACCTTCTGAGGATGGTCTTGGAGGTGAGTTCGTACTTCCAATGGTCCAACTGAGGCCCGTTTGGACATCCGAGCAACGGATGGTCCCAGGCGTTTTTCTGGGGCGGCCCGGCGTGCCCAAAGTCCCTCGAAGAAGGACGCCTTCAGTCGAGACCCATCCGATCATGTGAAGGTCATCGGATGAACTCCGATCCTCATTGTGTTCGATCAACAGCAGTACGACATTCCAGGCCCGACTTGTGACTTGTTTTGATGGAGTCGAGTTTACTCCAAATAGAGTCGTGGCCACCACTCGAACAACAAGTGCAGCGCTTCACTCATGCCTGGATCCCGGAAAGGTTTCTCTTCTCGGCTCATCACCAACCGTAAAACGCTCCAACGTGGCGCCCTGTGGTTCGGAGCGTTTGACGCCACGACGGGGTGGGTCGTATGCTACGAATTGCTATGAGTCGTACACAGCAACAAAGTGGGGAGGAGGGCTCCTGCGGCTTCTGAGAAGGTGGGACCATAGAGTAAGTCAAATGTAACGCATGTTAGTTACCATAAGCAAACCAACGTCCGTAAGATGAGGTCACTGACGAGGTCGAGTCCTCCTTGCCCAGTTTGGTCAACCCCCCTGGAGAAGCCCCGCACCAACTCTCAACTCCTCACATATTCTCCCCAAGAAGAATATATACGATGGTCCATGGCTCAAGCAGTTCCGACAAAAGAACTATCTATCAACCCCACAGAATTCCCGCTTGGACCAAATCTTTAAGAACACCTCAACAAGGCCTAGCAGTCCCCAAGAAACCAGCCGGGAACGAGTTTTTGGGGGGCTTCCTTCGCCAAGCAGCCCCAAGAAGGGCCAGCTGCCACCAGACCGCCCGTTGCATGGCGGAACCTGGTGCACCCAAGGCGAATGGTCGGGTCCGTGCTTCAGTGAGTGTGTGAAGCTCTCCCATAGCCTCCAGTTGATAGCCCCTTTAAAGCCTTCATGCTTCTACGAGGTCTAGAGGTCCATCTCCGCTGACATCCGCTGACCGTGTCGTGGTGTCTTCAAGTTGGAAAACCGGTCGTCCGGACTTAAAAAGGGTGGGAAAACACAGAAACATGCACCTCAAGACCAACCAATAGGGCGATCGGGCATTTAGGGCATAGGACAGGGTCCCGTTCAAGACGATCCATGAGACATCAGGGGGCCTGGTCACCGATCGGTTGGTACATGGAAGGATCTATCACCCCTATAAGGATCCGAGTCCGGACCCTCCATGGCGATCGGGGTCGAAGCCTCACTCGTTCACAACGGGGTTTCAGGGGTCCCTCAACACCCGTGTTTTGTTTCAGGTGTGGATCCGATGAACGATTTGGTCATCCCATGGGACTGGAGCATTGACCGATCAGGTAGGTCTGGGGTGATCAGGTAGGTCAATATAGTCCCAATCGATGGTCTGGGGATGGAACTTCTGTGGAAAACGACACTGGCACCGGCAAACACCAACACCCCCGCTCTGGATGGACTTGAGGAACAGCATGACCAGGAAATGCCATGAATCATTGAGGGTTTCCTAGCTTTCAGCTTCTAACTACCTGTAAAATCCATTCAGGGTGTCCACTGAATTGGTAAGTAGTGACCGCGAATGGATGTTCTTGGTGTTTGTTTTTTCAGAGAACCAAACGCTCCAAACAACCCTTGGTCACTCAAAACCTAGGGATTTGAGACGACTCCTCCATATGAAGGTCCATGAACGTCTGGGAATCAATCCTGAGACATCAAACTTGGCTGATCCGTGCCCCAGTTGCTAACCCACCTCTATCCATGTCCAAAATCATCGAATTCGCACGGGGCAAAAGGGTGAAGAAACCGAGGATGTAGACACTAAGTAAAACAGTGTAAACCATGGACGATCATCTCTAAACTATGATGTCGCTCAATTCACCATCAAAACCTGATGGTTCTCTCCCAGTGTTTCTCATCTTTGTTACACCAGCAAAGCCCTGGTTTTGGTATGGGCTAGATCAGTCAATGGCACAAACCTCGTGATCCTCTTGACCGCCACTTCATCGGAAAACTTTAGATATGATAATGGGTGTGAATATGGTGTGAATGATGTGGACATTAGGGAGAAGGTTCGGAAAATAGACCCAAACATAGCAGGAAACGAATTTTTGCACACATTGCGTCGGATGGTGAGGATCTCAGCTCAACTGGGATGACGCAAACCTCAGCCGCATCAGCGCCTCCAACTCAGCGGAGCTCATCGTGGAAACCGAGGGGCGTCAAAGGCCGGGCAAACCGATAGATCTCCACCCAAGAAGAGAAGGCTGAAAGGAGTTGTGTGTTGCTGATGTTTAAACAACAAAACATGCCGTGCTGTTGCTTTGCTGTTATGATCATATGCGTTGTTGAAGTCACAACTGCTGATTGAGAGAGTGAATCCATGATTCCAAGAGACCCTCTAAGAAAGCCCGTACCTGTCATAGTCAGCAACAATACTACGATGCTGCTTGCACAGCTGGGGACAGTGCCCCAAAGGACAGCGTAGCCTAGCTCCTCCCACCGTGAATTTCATGAACCGCATGGGGCCCTGAGAAGGACATTCACCCGGCTCCGGCTCGGTGCTTGTGAAGGTGGTTTTGGGGGGTCCATGTGGGTTCATGTGGTCCTCGGAGCGGTCTCGTTTCGTTGGAGCTTTCGTGTGACCATTTGGGTTGGTTGCTTTTGTGTTGCAGGCTTCTCCTTCGGTGATCCAGGTGCACAGGAGGCGCACATGAAGCAGGCTTCAGCCCCCTGATGGTCGCGATCTCTGAGCCACAAATGGTCGCCACCCGGGTCGTCGTGTCTCACGAAGTTGGTCAGACGAGTCCCCCGTTGGGTTGGAAGCTTTTCGGGGACTTTCCAGGCTGCTCATATTGGGGGCATATCCCAAACACGACACATGGGACTGGCATAGGACTGCCGATCAGTTGGGGTGGTTGACCTGGGGTCAATGTAGGCAAATATGCGATACATGGAGGGTCGGGGTATGACATATCTAGACCTGGAGTGGCCTGGAGCCTCAGTTCGTACCTCAAAGTCCTCTGCGCGAAGATGATTTGATCCCGCAACTACACATGACATGTGCATGAACGAACATAAAATGCAAGGTTGACCTGGTGTCATGGATCTTCCAACTATGCAAAATGAATTCCATTGGGCTAGTTATAAAATAAACAAGGCAGACATGTTGCACAGTTAGGAAGCTCTATATACGGTGTATAAGGTCTCCAAGGAAACAACACGTGTTTCATAACCACTAAATCAGCTAATCTTGACTGGACTCAGTGTTGGAGTTCTATGCGCCAATGATCGTTTCATTGTTTCTGTCCGCAGCATTGTGAAACTATTCATGAAAACACACCCTACAAGTCCAGTCTGACCCGGTAAAACCTAGTCCTTTACCTCCTTAAGTACTGCTTTTGTATGACCGACCAACATCAGTATTTCATGAGGTCATTGACTTGTAGGGTAATTATGCTCTCGGATCATGCAGCTGCGTGCCTCAACCTATGCTGGAACTACACGTGCAAAAAATATTGGCTTTAAAAAATGCTATCGTGACCCGTTTGGTTGGTCCAATCTTGCTCCGAATCGCTATCCACAAACCAGAGAAGATATTCAATTCCCAGACTGTCAGTATTGGCAAATTGTCCATAATGCACATCTGGCGATGTGAAAACACTGTGTCGATGATAGGAGATGGACTGGCAGTTCCTCCTGCATGTGGCGATGGACTACCCAAACAAAAATGCATCCTTGCGCTTCCAAGAAGCTCCTAGAGAAGCTGGCAGCTCTAAAAATGCATTCGAGGTTCCTAGAAATGAGCGTCTTAGAAGCACAGGGATCAGTCACGTTTTCGGGTGAACAATGACCATTCACCGTTTTTGTATGTGTTTGTTGCAGTTCTATAGAGACGATTGCTGGGGCGCCCCAATGCACTGGATGAAGGCCTTGTCTTGGAGCAGAAAGTAAACCATAACTACGTAACTAATTGATCCATATTGATCCATTAAACGTAAAATCATCATCAGTTGCTATACTATACAGTTCCTCACTCCGTCACATGAATCGAATCTTCGCACTCCTCCGCCCTCCGCACCCTTCCTGCTGCCCCGGCTCAACCTCGCTCGCTCGCTCGGCGGCAACTCTTTTGGGCGCGCCGTGCCGCGGGGCAGACCGGTCCCGACACATGTCCAAGAGCTGCCGCCGCAGTGCGATGCGATCCTGGCGGCCGCACAGGCGGTTACGGGAGCAGCCGACCGGTGAGCGACGTCGACCCGACAGGCCACGAGGGATGAGTGACCAACACGGAAGGGTTGTGCAAGTTGGTCAGTCGAGGAGTCACGTGGAGTTGGGTGGTGTTTTTTTCGTCCAACGCCACCCAACTGGATCCCCATCCGGTTCCATTTCTGCACCCAACTCTTCGTGCCGCTCAATGGAGGCACCACACCCGAACCTATGGCACTGGATGAGTACTGAGTACCTGGACCCGGGGTGGGGCTGGAGATCTCATCCAGTAGTGTATAGTGTAGAGATAGTGATGAGACCCCTTTTGAAGGTGCTGATGATGGTGATGAGATGGCCCCTGCATCTGCGCCTCAGTCCCTCCTGAAAGCCCTCAGGTCCATGGCACTTCCGTCAGTTCACACCTGTCAGGCCTGTCAGGTACTTGGAGAGGTTCTGCAGAATTACAGTCTAAGTGGTTTCAGAGTAGATTGTACCAGTAGATGGCCTCTTTTTTTGTGTCCAGTGAATGGGATCATGCGGATCATGCTCTATGCCCTAGATCAGGTCGTCTATACCTGGAGTTTCAAAGTACCTCAGAAAATGGGTACAGGTTAACAGTGAAAAGGGACATTGAGTTCATTACAAACATGATGTCTATTGAAACAGGGTGACCGACTCCGGTTTTCCGACAGCCTGGGTTCGGTTCGGGAAATGGACCGATCTAGGTGTGCCAGGAGCTGCCATCCCCTGTCTCTGCACCTCCACAGTTTCCAGGAGCTGCCGTCGCACCTGACTAGGCTTCTTTCCGCATCCCCACAAAGGTTCGTGAGACGAAAACGGTTCGCGCACGGCCTTGGTCAATGACCGTCCCAAACAGCTGACTTCCACAGATCTTCGCCCGTAGATGTTTTCGTGGTTTTCCAACGTTTTCCGTCAAACGAATGGGGAGGCTTCTATCCACACCAGAAACTGTGGTTGTTTGTGCCCTGACATCCCAAAGCATTGGGTCGGAGGTTGGACAGGCCTGTCGCCCACATCAAAGACGTACAAGCATAAATCCCTAGGGATCCAGTCCTACCTTCTGAGAAGGTACGACTTGATCCCTAGGGTATTCTGTAACCTCAGCATGTCTCAGAATCACGTGATCAAAGAATTCAGCATCACGCGGTCAAAGATGATGAAGGGTCAAACATTGTGATGTCTGTGACATGCCATTTATGTGATTGTTCATCGCTTGTTTCAGGTGAGTTCCACTTGGATCCACATACACAGGGAGTCTAAGACTATTCCGACATATTCCGACTATTCCCTATAGGGCCCTAGGACTCCTGTCCCATATCCTCAGGTTGGGTGGTGAAAAAAAAAACTGCCACCCACTCCAACCACCTTCTCAGGAGTCCTGTTCGAGCCCTAGGGCCCCTAGGGCTTCAAGAGGTGACCCGATGATCCTGACAGCTTCGGCATCTGTAGGAGCTGGCGCTGAACCCCATTCGATCTCGCTGTGCCAAGGAACCCCTTCCAGCTCCAAGCCCTTTCGCCGCGAGTCCTGCACTGGCACTCGACTTGGCAGGCGATCAGGTCGTTCGTTTAGGAGCGGAGAAGAACGGTGAAGGTCGAGGCTTTGCAGTAGCCAGACACCCCGGCGGGGAGGCAATCGTGGTGTCTGCCATATATATATATATATATGCCAGTCTCAAACAGACTTGATGGCAAGATGCAAACTACCTTGGGGGGGCTTTGGGGAGGCTTTCTGGGGCGGCATATGTTCCACTCACTCGAGAATGGAGTGTCTGCAGCTTCGGCCGCGTTCACTTCCTTCGACTCACAGCTGCCTACAACAGTCCTGCACGTTCTCACTCTGGATTCCTCTCCGGCATATTCCAGCATCTCTAGTCCCTGCAACTCAAGTAAACGGAAGTTGTGACAAGTCCGGGAACGAGAACAAACATGTATATATGGACTAGTTACCTACAGTGACCCTCAGAAACATCTTCCAAGCACCTAATTTGTATCACAGCAAGTAAGAAGCTAACACTTGGAAGTGCCCTGGCAGCGCCCAAAACGCTCGGAAGACGGGCCCCGTTGAAAAACCATGGGCGCGGCCATCTGTCAGAGCACCTTTCCCAAGTGGGTGATTGATTTAGGGGCAAAAATGGTCTTAGGTACTTGAGCAAAGAGCTCTGCTGGGGGGCGTACCTACCCCAAACACTTGCCCAACCAAGGTTTGGTTGGGAGTGTTCCCTGCAGGACAAACCGGTTGCCCTGAACCGCTGAAGTGCTCCTGCAGAAGCTCCTCGCTGAACCGCTCAGCCTGGCCGTTGGCCACGTTGTTCTGAAATTCAAACCCTTGTATATCCCTAGGGATCCAAGTACCTTCTCAGAAGGTACGACTGGACCCTCCCAACCTACATTTCTCAGTGTCTCCAATCACCTTCTGAGAAGGTACTTGGATCCCTTGTATATAGTTAAATCCCAGATTGTTTTGTATATTAGTCAAATGCGCATACACACACACTGCGCACATACTTGAATAGACTTGTATCCTTTTTGGGGGTATCTTCACTTGGTTTGACTTGCAATGCGCATCTGACAAAGGTCAAACATCGGCACTTGTATACTGCAGCTTGGGACTTGAGATGCGGACGGACAGAGTCTCGAACGCCCATGAGGGCGGCTGAACCCCGGATGCCATGCACAAGGCAGGCTTCTTCAGATCCCAGGAGTGAAGACCAGTGGTTTGTACTCCAAAAAGCCTAATCTTTTGAGGAACCAAAGGATTGTTTGTCCCAAAAAATGTTTGAAGGACTTTTGGTGAATGAAAGTGTCATGTTTTGGGCCAAGCTCCGGCTGGAACCAACTGACCTAGATACCCTGAGGTCCCGACACCCTATTTTATAGAAATTATAGAATGGGTGTATGATATTGTATGACCATGAGAGTTCCATAATTATACTCAGATTTCATCAAATGAGTTATTCTTTTCAACTGCCCCGATAGTTCTCGCCATAACGAACATCCACAGCCGCTAACCCGGATGTCTAACTCCACCGCGTCCGACGAGCGGTTGGTCGACCTGTCAGGCGTTCCGACTCCCTTGGTTCGGTTCGGGACAGCAACCCAGTATAACTGTACAAAGCATATACCTAGAACCCAGACATGACCTCTGTTTTGATAGCAAAAGATCATATTTGTAGTGGTTGGTGGTCAAACATAGAGGTCACTCAGGTTCTATAGGATGTTCTAGGTATATATATATATATTGGAGCCCTTAGACCAAGGCCTCCAGGCCACAAAACACCGATTTCCCACGGCTCCACCTGCTCGGCCAAGCTCTCGGAGACGAACGACCTGGCCTGGTCGGCGTCGCGGGTATCAACGGGTGCGACGCGGAGGTCGAACGGGTGGAAGACCTGTTGGGTGTGATACTTACGACCCATGTTGACCCACAAAAATCCCAAAACACTCTACGTATGGTAGTATGGAACATCCGTGAACTTGAATCAATCATTTATAGAAATTGCTGCCACGGACGAGTTCTCCCTGAACATCCCCTGAACTCAACCACTTTCTGGCCGTTTTCTCCTAAGGGGTCATAGCCAAACGATCCAGGCAAATATGGCCGCCCCATGACTGGTGGTGATGGGCTATCGGTGGTTTTTCGGTCATAGCCACACCGCGGCCCGACACCACGACCGCGTATTCCGGGCATCGAACGCGGGCCGCCTCCGCCATCTCCAGCGTCACCGCCGAGCGAAGCTCCACCAGCGACTCCTGGGATTCGCCAGGAGCGGACGGACCGCACCAGGACGGCCGGCACCAGAGCGGTTCGACCAGAACGGCCGCCCGTGTGTCTGTGTGTGGCACGTCAGGGAGCAGCAGCTTGAGGCGTGCGTGGCGTGCGAGGTCACTCTGCAGAGTGCTGATATTGTTGCTGATATGTTCCGAGTCATCCAAGAATCCAAGACCATTGTGGCATTTCCATTGCTGGAGGTGGACTTCAGGATGCTCTGGATGGCTTGCAAGCTGTTGATTGGCAGAAATCGGACTGCGGGGGCAGGAATCACCCCAGCTTGCTGTAGTAGAAGAACTCGGTTTGCAAAAAAGCCAAACTTGGAGGAATCACCCCTGAAGCACTATACATTTGGGAGCGAAATAGACTTAGGATGACTTAGCATGTATTTTCGTTGTTCTCGCCAAAGTGTCTGAGATATGTCTATAGTTCAGATCAAAGCTCCAAATTGGGGCTACCTGGCAACAAAGGGATGATCGACTTATCACATTACAACATGGAGACACCGTGCCCCAACTCTTGTGTGCAGCACGAACGACAACCTCAAGCAGGAAGAGAAAGAACAAAAACAACAAAATCTTTTAACATATTCATGTACAGGGTCAAGTCAAGATCCAAACTCTACGCAACTCTTCATATCACTTGTGTGATCCTCACATGCCCCGCGTGATGGTCGAGAGTCTCCTTCATCGATGCAACGCACAGCTGTCTGCCCTGCCCTGGCCCCAACCGTCCGTCCCCGCTCTCAGCTCCTCTTGAGCTGTGTCCTGCCGGGCGGAGGACATACAAACGTCAACCGTCCACCACGCCGGTGTCCAATTCAGCTCAAATTCATTGCCCTACACCGACTTCGTCGTACCTTCTCAGGTTCGGTATGACTAGACCCTCCCGGCACCCATCCCAGTCCCACCTTCTCAGAAGGTACGACTGGAGGCCTAGGGTTGATAGGATTTCTGTTTCGTTATCGAAGTCACCTGGAATAGGCAACATCAGTGCTATTCGGTAGATGTTGTATCATGTTGTATCTATCTACACCTTGGTCCTTGGTTGATATCAGCAGTGATCAGAAAGCCAGCATGATTCTGGGGGATGGGAAAATGATGCTCTAAACTGAAAGCCACCAGCCCCGGGAGGTTGTTCAAAGTGTCCCTTGAAAACCTCAGGTTGTTTACGTCACTTGTCCACTTGCCCAAGCAGGTCACCAGGTAAAGACCCGCTATAAGTACCCTTTGCAACAGGTGGGTTTGAAGAACCAGGGGCAGTGAACAAGCTGGAAGGGGTATATCTTGATCAGGGCAGTGACCAACTGGAAAGGGCATAGCTCGATCAGGACTCACGATGGTCGGGGTGCCTTTCATAGAAAACTTGGAGTCACCTCTTTTCGATGCGACTTTCATAGACACCCCGACGACGAGGGCCCTGGTGTAATATATCCAATTCATGTCCGACTTGAGACCACCTGGATCCTGTTCGTTGTACCTGTTTTCCTCGGTCGTAACGGGTCGTACCTGCTGTTGTTCTGCGTGATATCATCCATTGATATCCAATGTTCAAGGGTGCAAACTGGAGGGTCCAGGTATATACTCATGACAGTACTCATCTCCAGCATATGTGTCCAAACCAGTCCCAAAGGGGTGCTATCCATGAAGGAAGGTTAGGGGTGCCCCGTTGTCACAACCACGGCCCCTGGCTGGGACGAGCCACACCACCCCGAGCTCTGTGACTCCTGGAGCATGAACACTTTTGACATCCGCGCCACTGACGCCTCCGGCGTCCGCATGTCCGACGCGGCCTCTAAGGCCACACGAAGCTCACAAAGGCCGGCTCTCCACTCCTGGTTTCCACCAACGCGGTTTGCGCACTGGGGTGATGTTGCCATTCGCCAATCCCGGTCACTCAGTTTCTCAAAGCACTCTCAAAACCATCTCTCGGAATCTCCCCGAACCTGGTACTTGTCAAGTCCTATTAGACTAGGAGATATTACGAGCGACTCTACGGCAAGCTCGACTCCGACAGGTCCACAGCCGAAGAGTCTTTCAAACCGCATCGGAGGGATGGAAAGAAAAAACACTAGACACTAGGTAAGTGGGACTGGCGGACGGCTGACGCCATTGGGGTGGTGAAACCACAGGGACGTCGTATGCCTGAAACCCAGACGAGTCGTGTCTGATGCATCGGACCCGGGCATCGTGTCATCGCACCGCCGGAGGCGCGGGAGCGACTTTCGAGTTGAGTGGTCTGGTGAGTGGAGCCTCGTTGGTGAATGAAGAAACACACGCGGAATGCATGATGCTTGGAACACTCCTCATTTTAACATGTTTTAACCACCTTGGAGTTGGGGAAGCCTTGGAACTTACAGTCTCTGAGTGTTCATAGTGGGACTTGATCGACTTAATTCCTTCAACAGTTCCTCCAGTCACTTAGTCTGCTCTCTATTGGAAGTGCTCCTGAACAAGAATGGTCAGACTGATGGGTTCTTTGGCTGTGCATGAAGTCCTCAAAGTTCATATACTAGTACCTGGACCTTCATGTCGGGGTGCTCCAGTAGTGGAGATCCCATCCAGTAGTGTAGGGTAGTCTATTGGAGACCCCTTTGAAGGTGCTGGTACTAGTTCAAATTATGCTTTTCTCTGTCTAAACTTACCAAACTCCAAGTAGCTGATGTCCTGTCTGGATACCTACACGTGGTGTGTCTGGGTGATGAGAGATCCAGCCATACCCACTAGGTATCGGTATCAGCAACATAAAACACAAACATATTCTTGTCTTGTCTTGGGCTGATCCCCATTTACAAAGCCAAAAGCCTTGTTGGTCCCACTTGCAAAGTCACTAGCAGAGAGGCAGCGCAATGAAGGGATAGTCATAATATGTCATAATTAATGTGCGAATCCCCCAAAACGTTGCTATTTTAATCAAACAATGCAATGCATAATATATACCTGCAAGCCCACCGTCCATGTCCTAGCTTTCATCAATCCAAACCACTCAGACATGCTTGACCATGCCATGTGTTTCTTCCACACATCTGGATACGCGTGTGTCCCCACCTCAGCCATGAGCGCCAAGCTTTCCAAAGGGCCCTCCTGTTTCAGGAGCTTCACGCATGGAGCTGGTCTTTGAAGCAGGAAGTGAACTAAAGAGTTAGTTATGCAACGCTAGGTGGACCAAGGTCATGGTCGATGGTATATACCCCCCTTTCACTCTGTCTCTCACTCTCTATACATATCTAGATTGAGTGCACAAACATGGGGCGTTCTCCCCTCGACCAACCCAAACCGACCACAGTGTGGTCCCAGCGACTTCAGCGTTAAAGAGCAGAAACAAACCAAGAGAGGTTATATAAGTGACCGTAAATAGAGCCCGTAACCTGGGGTGCCCATGGGATAGACTGTAATTGTATGGGTTTCTTCACACGAGCATGACACACATGTCCAATGTTGGTGGCTGACAAGGACCCATATCTAAAGAAGCATCTTGAGGTGCCTGGGCCATCTAAACAAACCTAGCAGTGGATTCCGCATGAGAGCAGTACCCTTCCCCCAATCCAGAACAACACCTGATAGTATTTGTATGTATGAGTTAGACGCCCCGAGGTCACTGAGCGATCATTGGAGCACCATGAGTATACACGCATCATACGTATCACTTGGTGAAGTCAACTCACTCCACATGACCACCAGATGCAGCAAATGCTGCACCGCATGGAAAACGCCCCAAAACACCCCTCCTGGAGCTGCCAAAGGTGCTCCTGCAGCTTCAGCCCTGCCACCGGGTTCGGTGAGGAAGCGAGTCTAGAGGATCGGTTCCACACCGAAGCAGGAAGGTTTGGACGGTTTGGACATATTCCAATTGGTCCACCCTGCAGAATTAAACCGTTTCGGCTCTGAATGGCCGGTTGCATGTTGAGAGTGGGCAATCTGTGTAAATATGAACTATTGTAACTATTGTATCATTTTGGTTTGCAGGTCAAGTTGTCCTACCATTTCCTGAAACTGAGAACGCAGTACGTAGGAAAACACACATTTGCAACGTCACCGTCTTGTCAGCGACTGGATCCGAGCTAAATACACGTTTAATCAAATAGAGTAATACGGACCCAAAACAACTGCTGGGAAATGTCGTGCTGTGCATGTCACATAGAGACCTGTCATGTACAGAACAATCTACCTTCACACGTCCCCAATCCCCAAGATCATCTTTCTCCAAACATTGACATGATGTCAAACGCTCCATGCGATCCATACGCTCAAACGAACGTTTCCTTCTACCAGAGTCCATCGGCTGTCCTAGTCCCTTCAACCACGCTCGGACGTCACCTTGATCCTGCTGTTCCCGCAGGCCGGTCGTCACAGCTGCTACTTCCTGGGGCACCACGAGCACCCAGGAAGAGCGTCGTTGCTGTTCTGATCATCTGGTGAAAGGGACACAACGAGCACAAGAACAGCCGAGCGTATAATCAAGATAATCAAGATTAGAACAAAACAAACAGCACTAGGAGTTTCTGCGTTGCGCAGATTCTCCGATGCTGAAATTGCATGTGCCTAGTTGTCAAGTCTGAAAAAAGGCAATTGAGACTAAACTGCCAGGACCTTCAAAGGGGTCTGTATACACCACTCATGCAAACTTCCATTCAACACATTTCAAAACCCTTGGATTGCCTTGGATGGTCCGGCTTTGCGCAAGGTCCAGTGGACCAAGCTTGGCGTGCTAAAGCTCAAACACCAGCTGAACGCCGAGTGCATTGAAAGCTCAAACGCGAAAAAACAACTGTGTCACCCCATCCGCTTCCAGGTGATTCATCCAAAAAGAACACAAACAGACCTTCAACTCTTCCAACTCAAGCAATCCCACAATCCACACTGCCCATGTTTGTTTTACCCGCCCTTGTTGTTCGTGGCCAAGCTGACCTCGGCACGCTGACCTCGCTCCTCGGTGAGCTCCAGCTCACAGCTCCTGCGGTCGCGCTCGACGGGTCATGGCACCCGGTCGTCCTCCTGAGTTGACCAGAGAAAATGAACCGAATGGACGACCTATCTACCCTGGTCGCCCTGGTGAAAGGAGATCTGGGTGTTACTGGACCATCCATCCGTGTGGGTTACTAGACTCGCCATGGCACAGAAACACTTCTGCCATACGCTGTAATAATCCATGTTATGTATTATGGAGTATGTGTTGAATCAGTTGAACATGCAAACAAAAAGCGAATCCAAACCAACAAAAAGTAAAACACATCCATGGGGGCGGCATGATGTCCAGTCTCATGGATGGTCGACCGGTCGATCGGTGAACTCGCCGGCCATCGATCGAGCGGGAGGTTGAGGGAGGGAGTGCCTTCAGAAACAAATTTAAGAGTATATATCTGGTGCCCAAAATAATCCAAAATATATCTATGGTTGGCACGGTTCGGGTTGTTTTCCAATTTATATATATATATATACATGTTGAAAGGGACTTTACTTTTCATTCTAAGCTTGGGGGTCTCCATCAATGGCCGCTCGGCTGCCGGGTTGCGAAGATCACCTCGAAGGGTAGAGGATCCGATTCCAGACGTCATGCTGAGGAGGATCACGAGTTGAAGAGACTAAAGATAGACCCCTATTGGGCTCCAACTACCTTCTGAGAAGGTGCTTGGGGTAGGTTTGGGGAGTCTACCTTCTCATCCTTCTCAGGATGTGGTTGGAGCCCTAGGGAGATCTCATAGCTCCTCGTTCTCGTACGTTCTCGTACAAGGGCAACAAATCCTCATCAAGACGCGGCAAGCAGCTGGCGAAGGCACGGCGAATTCCGCTTCCGCCCCTTCTCGGATCGGTGGCGCCACATCTCAGCAACTCTGAGCCGTGCCATGATCCGTCCACGTGGTGAGATGGCTGCCATAGGTGCATTCAATATTATCAAGGTTTCCTTTCCCCATAGGCGTAGTGCATTACTGCACAGCACTACGGGGGGCCGTCGTGATCGCAGCTCTTGCATATGGATCGGATCTGCTGGCCGTGGACGTCGACGACGAGCCGGGTCACTCCGACGGGCTATGACCGGTCTTCTGGGCCGTCGCTGGTCCGGAAGGAGAGGAAGAAGTCGGCTGAGGTCTCCGCCAGTCGTATCCCCCAGCCGTTCAGTTGGTTGGAAGAGCGCGAGGATCACCGAATCTTGAGTCCAAGCAGATAGATGTTGGTATGCAACCAACAAAATGCAATGACACGCGTGGTTGATGGGAAATTACCGAGCTCAAATTTACGGCTTCTTGCTTCCAGCTGATTCTGAAAACTATGGTTTCGCGTATATGTGTTCCATTGCACAAGAAGTCAATCAGCACAATATCTTAAACAACAAAAACACTGAACCAATCTGATGCAATCATAATCCATGACAGTGAAATTTGAGCGGAATCACCTCTTTTGGAAGGGTCTAATTTCAAAAGCAATATATTATATATGTTTGATTAGTTCTCTATCAGGTCCCTGCAGAAAGGTCATTAAGTCAAAAAGAGATATACACGTTTCCCGAAGAACAAACAACAAGGGGGTGTTCTTCTCAAAGTGATCTTTTGAATGAGCCACTCCACAAGCACCGCCGACTCAAAAAGGGCTTCCACGGGGCCCACATGGTCGGCCTACACGGCAGTATACAGTCATGGGGCTTCCCCTCGGAACCATGTCCACTGCCGTGCGGTTCAAGATGCAGCCAAAGAACACTTGCTAGCAAAAAAAATAGTAATTCCCAAACGCTCCATGTATGCCATATATGCCTACATTCACCCCTCAAACCACCCCAATGTAGGTAAATATGACATACATGGAGTGTCTGGGATTAATCTATGTTTACAACAACTTAATAGAATGGTTCTTTGCGTGGTTCCAAAACCCATGTAATATTCAACCATGCATGTGTTTCAATACCAGTAATTATTAACCATGCCTAAACCCTAAAACCCCGTCGTTCGAGTCGTCCGACTATCCACCGTAGCCCTCTGCCCCCGGTCCGCAGCAGTTGGGCGCAGCACTCCCAAAGCTCCTGCGGAGAGGTTGACCAGCCCATCCCATATCATATGCCCTACTAGGGCTTCTGGCCGACCTCCGTTTCGGTTCGGTGGCGAATTAGGGTGGATGTTGGAGGTCTAACCACCGAACCGGAGATGGGACAGGAGCCCGAAAGACGGAGCACTACAGGGTCTGGTCTCTCAACGAACCACACCGGTCGTCACGAAAACGGTGAACATATTTTTCAGAGCTGGAACCAACAGACCGGGAAGTGGAGGGAATACATTTACGGCCAATACCCTAGGCCTCCAGTCGTACCTTCTGAGAAGGTGGGACTGGGATGGGTGCCAGGAGGGTCTAAATACCATCTGAGGAGGTACGACGAAGTCGGTGTAGGGTATTGAAATATTTCACGGATGTCAAGGGAAACATGTTTCATGCCAAACAGCCCAACGAAGCCATGCAAAACTAATGGAAGAAATTGCCCAAATCATGCAGGACATGTGAATATTACACGTGACTGGACAATTCACTTTTCTCATATACAATTTTTGCGATCACATGTGTCTTGGGTCCCACCCCTCTAGCAGTGAATGGAAGTGCAAATTATGTGGCTTCAGAAGGGGGCTACTGGGAGGGCACCGCGCCTCCTTCCAAAATCATGCTGAGTATTGGTGGCGAACTGGTACGTTTCTGCTGGCTTAGGAGCTTCTGCCCCACGCTTGTCCCAATGTGACTATTCATGCTGCGGTAGTTTTTTTCAGAACCGGGTCGGTGGGGCGTAGTCCTGAATTCAAGGTTTCTGCGGCGCGTTGTGGTGACGCATGGTGTTGTGATTGTGCGTGTGTGTGTGTCATTGTATGTTCTCGTGCGGCCTGTGAACCTAGACCTCTTGATATATCTGGATCTCAAGACCTCGCTGAGTCTCAAGAGCTCTAGGCCTTTCTGACTGGATCTCAAGGGCTCTAGACCTCTAGATCTCTAGTCCAATACGTCTAGAATCGTCTAGAGATCTATCTCTAGACCTTCTACACCTCTAGACTCTAGTCCTCTAATTTCAAGCACACACTGTATGGGGTCCCTTGCCGGGAAAAACATAGATTACTCCCCGCATGGACGACTTCACATCATAGCCCCCCCAAAAGAGAAAATATGTCAACAAACACCACATCCTCAGCAAATGGTAGAGAAAAGTAGTCTTCCAAGGGACCATTTTCTACTTCCATGTTAGTGAGTCAGAGGGTATTCCTCCACATCTCAGCTGGATGTTCCGGCTTAAACCCACGCAGGGACCCACGCATCTCTCAGCACTCTCACTCTCCTCTGGGCGCGAGTTGCTCTGCCAAGCCTTGCCGAGTTTCAGTGGGTTGGGTCGAAAATCCAGAGCGATTGGTCATCCCGTTCTGCCCAAGCAAAGAAGAAGATCTCTGATTTCGGATGTCTCCAAAAAAAACCTTCGACTGATGGGACAGGTAAACAAAAGAAAACCATCGACCTCAATATGGGAAGACATATCGAGTTTCCAAGCTGAAAAGTGGTTATCTCTCGAGTTTCCCAGCTGGATTTGGTCCATAGCTGAGGCTGTTTGACCTCAGTCTGTCTATACTGTTTGTACATATATAGGAGGTTCTCACCATCTGTATTAGATCCAGAGTCATCTTTGAGTTGGGTTTTCCAGAGTTCTTCCACTGCCCAAAATTGTACGTAGGTGGATCTTTGCTTCAGGTCATCTAGAGGTACTGGAAGAACCACACACCATCCACGCACCATGTCGCCCCTGGTGAAGACGGGGAATGCACTGCTTTTACATGGTGTTTTGGGGCATCATTTATGCGGGGCAAGATGGCAACATGTTTGAAATCAACAAGCATCCACAAGTTCAGTTCCACAAGGCCGCTTGGGGGCTGTCCACTCAAACGACTATCCAATTGAGGCTCTGCGAAGCTGAACTGTTTCAAGGAACACCATTGAGGCCCTGCATGGTATGGCTTATCTCATTATATAATTCGTAGGGAGAAACTCCATGGACACGCCATATTTGGCTACATTGGGGTGGTTTGGGGGTTCAATGTAGACACCCCGGATTCCGGGTTCCGTGTGCCTTCTTCAGCGCTCCCTCCCTCTTCCTCCAGCGCCAAACGTCATCAAAGAGCCCACAATTTCTCTTGGACCCCTCTGCTATCACCACCTCCTCTTGGATCACCCCAGGTTACTACAGAGCCATCAAGCAAAATGGCCGCGAAGGCACTGGCGGAGGCTTCAATTTGCTGAACATGTCTCAGCTGATCTTGGACGGCGCTGCTATCTCCTCCATATGCTGAAGAGCCCCAGGTCACTACAGATCCGTTCATCAAAGTGGCAGCAAAGGCATATGAAGAAGCTTGAATTTATATATGGAGTTGTAGGTGCTGTAGCCCTTGAATTGCTATCAGCACACAAAGTCGTGCAACATCGACACGCCGATGCCAGAAAGGCAAAGCGTAAGGTATGCTGACCCACGTAGTCAATGGGCCGCGAAGGATAAGGTGGACCCAACACAAAGTCAGGCAAGACTACCACAGAACTGCCTGGCGGTGATCGGTGGAGAGACCACAGAACACCCGACCCGGATCACTTGCCGAAGCCAAGCCGCGGCCAAGACGGCAAAGCACCATGCAGGTCGGACAGACGTGCCGAAGTTCAAGTCAGTGGAGAAGCCATCCACGAACAAAATGTCCATGACGTGAAACGTATGCAAAGGCAGCGGGATCCTCACGATCCAACCAGTCCAGCTCCACGTAACGAAGTACGTGCGAATTCACGGTGAAAAGCCCAAAACTTCCAAAGAAGATCCCATAGTCAAAGACCGAAAAGGAAGAGACAAAGCAGCAGAAACCACGGACTCGTCAGCCCCACAAGGTCGCAACAAACTCATCCGGCACCAAGCGCGCGACCATAGCCAGGCGCCCTCATTAGTCACTCCCCCAGGAGTGTGGATCCTCTAAACTTCGCACCCTTCCTCGTCAAGAAGGGCCCAGGGCCACCACGTGGAGGTGGAGGATCCGAGCTGGCCCCAAGAAGCTTGAATTTGCTGAACATTTCTCAGCTGATCTTGAACTGCAAGGCTGTCTCCTCCATATTCTGGATCGCCCCAGGTTACTACAGAGCCATCAAGCAAAATGGCTGCGAAAGCACGGTCAGAACGCTGAATTTGGTGCACATCTCTCAGCAAGTGTTGCACAGCACTGCTCTCCCCACCACAGTCCCCAAAGCCCCATGTTACCACAGTTCCATCTGCAAGCAGGGCAGCAAAGGTTATTGAGTTTGAACTGGTAGCAGGCCAAGTAGACCATACCACCAC